AGAGAGAGAGCTAGGCTTGGAGAGGTTTTATAATGCGATGCTGTTACGCGGTTGAAGGTGTAGGGTTTGACGCCTATGTATGTATATATATATATATATATATGTTTAAGGGTTTTAGCGTTGAAAAGCAAGCGCGTGCGCGGACATGCCCAGAACGCACAAGGTGCCCAAATAAGCGCGCGCGGGGACATGCCCACAACGCAAGAGATCCCCAGTAAACTTTAAAAACCGAATCTTCAAGTCCCAAAGCCCATTGCCTTATATGAAAGCTTCGCGATCCCAAACTTGTACAGGCCCGATAGCTCCTCGGTTACAAATTGTGGTATCTGCCGCAATGTAGACTCGAGCTTTTACGTGCATGGTATGCGCCACAATGTAGACTCGACTACCGAAAGATTCGCATGGAGGCTCGTGTCACATGCACAACAGCGGCATGCCGTTCCGTCTATCGCTTCCTCCTTCCTCAAATTCAGACTGCGGGGCCGTGAAGACATGTCTTTGCAATCTCCGACTGATTGAAGACATCATACCGGGAGCTGGCTGAGTTCGACACTGGTTGGGTTCGAAAACATCCAAAAGTCCTCTTTCTTTCAATCAGATTACAACAGCCCTGCGTACGACAGATGATGATGATGTTGCTCCCATGACGGCAGAACATTTTGTCATGTCGCCACCGGCATAATCGCCATCGTCATTCATTCAGTGTGGCTTCAGAGCTACTAATTACCCTATACTGCTTATAAGACCCCTATATGGTAAGCCCTAAACCCTTCACCCCTAAACCTGTGACCTAAACCCTAGACCCTAAGCTTAAACTTGGGGAGGAAGCCATGTTGCATGACTCGAATCAAACTCTCTCTCTCTCTCTCTCTGTCTTGCCTGCCCGGGGGCTGGAGCACGGGCTTGCACCCAAACAACAAGTAACCCCAAGCCCCCCAGAATGAGACGGCTCCATGTGGTCATGTGCATCATGCGATCTAATTCCAAAATTGCAACGCAACATAATTTCGCAAAGGTGTGATGCTGTACACAACAATTACGCCCAAACAAGAAACCCCAAGCAGCAAGAATGAGACAACTCCATGTGAATCA